TTCCCGTACTCCCCCCCTCCCCCACCCTCTCCACCTCCCTCCCTTCTCCCGGCCCTACCCCTGCATCACCATGCGTCGCTCCCTCTTCCTGCAGAGCCCTGCGCAGTCCTCGTCCCCCGCCGCCCCGTCGCCCGAGGCCCTGTCGCGCCTGCTGTACCCGGCGCACCGCGACCTGCGCGCGCGCGCCTTCGAGCTGCTGCGCGAGCCGGTGTTCCGCCTGCGGTACAACGAGACCGTCGCCATGGAGCGCTCGCGCACCACAGCCCGCATCGCCCGCGTGCGCCAAGCGGGGCTGCTGCGAGACACCGTCTCGCGCGCCAACGAGGCCGGGTCGCGCCGCTACGACGTCCTCATCGACGTCCTGGCCCTCCTGGACCACTCGCTGGAGATCCGCTTCGGCGTCAACCTCGGCCTCTTCTGCGCCACCATCCGCCGCCTCGGCTCGGAGGAGCAGTACACCCACTGGCTCCCGCGCATAGAGGACGGCCGCGACGTCGGCTGCTTCGCTCTCACCGAGCTGGGGCACGGAAGCAACGTCCGCGGTATCCAGACCACGGCCAGGTATCTCCCCGACGTCCAGCAATTTGAGATTCACACCCCGCACGACCTGGCCCAGAAGTTTTGGATCGGCGCCGCGGCGGAGACCGCCAACGTTGCCGTCGTCTTTGCACAGCTCACCGTCGACGCCGTGCACCACGGCATTCACATCTTTATCGTCCCGCTGCGCAACAAGCATGACATGTCGCTTTGCGACGGCATCACCATTGCCGATTGCGGCCCGAAAGCGGGGCTCAATGGCGTTGACAACGGTCGCATTTGGTTTGATCGTGTTCGTGTGCCGCGCGAGAACATGCTGTCGAGCATGTCCTCCGTCTCCCCTGACGGCCGCTACTCGTCGTCATTCACGTCGCCGGACGCGCGCTTTGGCGCCCAGCTCGCCGCCCTTACGGGCGGCAGGGTCGGCATCGCATTTAATGCCATCGAGATCGCCCTGCTTGGGCTCACCATCGCCATTCGCTACTCGGCCAAGCGTAGGGCATTTGCACCCAAAAAGGGCGCCGAGGAGGTGCCGCTATTGTTTTACACGTCGCAGCAGAGGCTACTCATGGTGCCGCTTGCTACGGCGTTTGTGTACGCGTTTTGTGCAAGGGATTTGAGAGAGATGTACTACAAATCCATTACAACGGGGTCGATTGGCAAGGATGTTCACAGCTTGTCTGCTGGTTACAAGGCCATGTTTTCGTGGTTTATGCAAGACACGCTCCAAAAGGCGAGGGAGGCATGCGGAGGCCAAGGGTATAGGAGCGAGAATCGCATCGCACCGATCAAAGCAGACCGAGATGTTATGCTCACGTTTGAAGGTGCGAACGGTGTGATGCTGCAACAAGTAGCCAAGGTGTTGCTCGCGGAGCTCGGTGCGGCGGCCAAGAACGGGGGCACGTACGCCAAGGACTCGGTTGTCGAGGCGCTCAACACGCCGCCGCCACCTTTTCCAAGTGGAAGCTGCAACAGCAGCAAGAAGTTAGACCAGACGTTTATCTACGCGGCGCTCTGGAAACGCGAAGACAAGCTGGTCAAGCAGCTCGGCGAGCGGTATGGCAGGATGGTGCGGCACTGGAACGGGTCCGCGTTTCAAGCGTGGAACGACTGTCTGAGCGTGGCCGAGGCGGCGGCGACGGCGCACATGCACCGGCGGATGTACGACGCGCACTTGGTGCATGTCAAGCATGCGTCTGTAGCTGACGCAGCGAGCGGCGAAGCGTTGAGGTTGTGCGGGCGCGTGTGGGCGGCGAATACGATTGCGTCGGACGAGAGCTTTTTGAGGCTGGGGTGCATCAGCGCGGCGCAGGCGACGGACGTAGTGGAGCAGATTGATGACCTGTGCAAGAAGATGACGAGCATTTCAGAGGCGCTGCTCAAGGGGGTCGGGTTTCCCGACCACTTGCTCGCGCCAATTGCCGTCGATTTTGTTGCTCACAACGCGCGCGCAAAACTGTAACTCTCCCCGTAGATTCAGTATGTAGACTAGCACTCTGTCGGAGGAGAACATAATGTAGTGTGATAATAGATGGTCTGGCAATTAACGTACAGAGCTGCACTGTTTGACGAAGAATAGAAATGAACTCTGCTTTCTCCGGCAGACAACTTTCTCCGGTGGGCATCTTTTTCGCCGCTCCCTCTTGACTTCCAAAACGGCTCACAACTTTACTCACATTTCTCACTGTCTGTGACTGGTACGTTTGTCTGGGGAACAGTGTACAATACATACGGCAACACTATTGCCCAGGCCAGTCTTGTATCTAGTACGGTACAACAATCTCAGCAGGCGCGGCTAAAGGTGGCTGTGCTAAGGACCGATAGGTATACACATGTAGGAGCGACGGCAACGGGGAAGGGTGGAGTCGGAAAGACGTGGGCTCTTCGAGCGACTGTTTTCGAGAACATATGTCGCGTTCTGAAACAGGGCGGGTGCGTGGAAGAGGTGAAGAGTCTATTTTCAGAGTGCACGATGGGTGAAGACAGTGATACAGAGAGGAAGTGTATGACAATACAAGAGAGTTTTGAAGGATTTAAATAGCTGATTGAGGCACACGGGAGAAAGCGAGAGTCATGGAAGGGATACGGGAGATGAAGATTCGGTGGATGTGATGGAATTGATGATGAGAGCTGCACGACTGAGTGTACCTTCTTGTGATGAAAGCAGTGCAGGGATTTGCTTTCAACTGTACGGAAGAATCAAGCACAAGGCATCAGAATCAGGTAGCGTGCGAAGGATAAGAGTGGGAATCGAGAGATGCGCCCCACGACCATGGCAGCGGCCTGTGGATGAATGCGTCGGGGGCGAGCGGGAGGAAGTTTGGCGGAGCAGATTGCGCTTTCATATTTCAATTGTGCAAGTCTACAAGTCGGCATAAACTCGGCGGGTGGAGTGTATGCACTCTAGTCGAACCCGAGCCGTTCAGGGATCACAGGTTTCACACAGTCTATGGACAAGGAGATGAATGTGACTGAATAAGAGGGCGATTTTGAAACGGTGAGCTGGGGGGCGTCTAAGGACTGGGGGGCAGAAGCCGGAGACGTCTGATGACATGTTTCGGTTTGTGCATTCGGGATGAAACAAGCTTCCTTCAAACAGCCCCTTCCGGTGTTATGTGTGGGTCTTTCAATGAGAGCAAGGGCTATGCAGTCGTGGGATATAGTGGTGGGACACTTAGGATATGGAGTATATCGGAAAAGAAAGTTCTGAGGAGTTTCCCGGGCCATGAATCGCGGGTGAGTAGCGCTGCGATGAGTGCGGATAGAAAACGTGTAGTATCTGGATCCCTCGACAAGAGTGTACGGGTGTGGGACGTGGAGACAGGAGTACAAATCGGCGATGCATTTACCGGACACACCAAAGAAGTGAATAGCGTTGCGACGAGTGCGGATGGAAAACGTATGGTATCTGGATCCTCGGACAACAGCGTGCGAGTTTTGGGACGTGGAAAGGGGGAAAGTTGGAGATAGACGAGATAGTTAGTCATGAGGGTCGTTGCAGAAGTGAATGAACGGGGGTTTTTAACCCTTCGAAGGGTAGCTACGGAAGTACCGTAAAACTTTACAGTAGGTGTGGAAAGGAGCCAATAATTGCTCCGCAGTGGCGGGTAGCAGAAATAGGAGCAGCACAGTAGCTCTCAGGCACGTCCTCAGGCAGCATTGCGTAAGCCTGTTTTAATTAAAATTCTGAAACTAAAATTCTGAAATTAGATTTCTACATTGCTGTGCTGCATTGCTGTATTTCTTTTCCCATTTTTGATTAGAGAATGAAGATTGATGGTCGTTTACGGTTGGAGCTCTCACGCACCCGAGATATCAGCGGTAGCGAGAGTACTCTTGACTATCTATCGAAAAGTAAACAAAGAAAGAACAATATCAGAGAATAGACATGTGAGGGAAGCCCAGGGAAGGGCGTCCTGACGGGGATGGGTGGGCAAAAGAGAAATAGACATAGGCGAAAAGTCACGAGACTCTCACCCGGCCGTCGGCGATATGTAGGACAGTGCACGCTCGGTCGAATGCCAGGTGTCGGCATGTCACTCGCTACTCCCGGGACAGCTTCACCCGCATACACGAGTGTATACAGACGCATATAGTGCCTTCCTTAGCAGTACCTCCCTCTGTATAGTGCTATGGCTCCCCCTCTGGCACAGGTTATCATAAGCCCACACGTGTATCATCTGGCATGGTTCAGTGTTACGATATGGAGGTGCGACGGCGGAAAATATGGCGACGAGTACTCAGTACCCAAAGGATTGAAGTTGTACGTTTTTAGTTGTGTTTTACAGGCTTTTGTGCTTTTGCTTGTGCTTTAGGAGGCACAGTATGCGTAAACCCACAACTGTACACCAAGGTTTTTCCAACAACGCCATCATGCCGCTCGCAACCAAACCCAAAGTATATCCCTAATGCCACTTGTGTGAAGTATACTTCACATATGACCGTATAAAAGGGCTCTTTGGACGGCGACCTGAAGTCTACAGTATTGATATAAAGAATTCTGTAACATTGGATTCTTGATCCTCAGCATGTTGTGCGTCTCTCGGACATTCAAAATTAAAAATCGGTCAAGCACAGCCGAAATGGCCGCGCTCACTTCGACATCGTCTCAGAGATGCCCTCAAACCCCTCTCCTTTGGCTAGTGGAGCTCAACCATCACCAACAGGAACTTCAAATGATGTTTCAGAAGGTATAACAGCAACAGCTGAGCCGGGTCCGAGCAATAATTCCGCACAAAACCTGCGCCTCGATGCGTCAGGTCATCCTCGACTACAAACTGTGACCCATGGGAAGGCAAGGGGACGACCAAGTGTACGAGGACGAGGTAGGGGCTCTCAGGGACGTACTACAAGAGGAAGGGCACGAAGCGGTCGTGGAGGTGCATTGGGAAGGGGCAGAAGGCGTGCAAGTGGAGAGGGCGGGAACAAATATTCAGGATCCAGCTTCAGGGTGGAATATTTGCACCTCAAGAACCAGTGAGGTGGTAATGGAGAAAGAGTTTGCGGATTCTATAATAAGAGACCGTGCGAGGATGCTTTGCAGCACAGCAGTTAATAAGATGAAGTTGCAATGCAACGTTAGAGGAATCACTCCCACTCGATCAGGATTTGTGGTGCTAATAATGAACGGAATACTGCAACAACTGACTGAGTGGATGAATGAGCTTGTCCGAATGAGGAACATGAAAACAATTATCACTATGTCGGACATGCATCGCTATGTTGCTGTCCGTTTGCTTTCTCACACAACCGGATTCAGTTTTGAAAAAACTATTATGATACAGCGTCAGAACGGCTGCGTAGCGCCTTTCTTGGAGATAACAAGGTTTATTGCGGACAACATTCTTGCGTTTTCACCTACTGGACGGGAAAGCGATGGATCAAGCACTTGGAGCGCGCAACGGGACAGAACACGGCAGCTTTCAGAGTTTGAAAGCCTTGCTTTTCGTGAATCTAGAAAAGTTTTCTTTGAGCCCATGCATTTGTTTGCGACTCTAGATGATGACCTGTTTGGGACCAGGGCTTCAGATAACCAAGTCAAAATGCTGAGCTCCAGAAAAGCTGACAGAGAGGGCCACTCAGCAGATGCTGTGGCCGATGCACTTTTCAGAATTGTTTTAACTATACGATTCAGAAGACGAGGGGAACAACAGACAGAGTCTGTTCGAAAATTACTTTCTGGTTTGATGGACGGGAGGGGAGAGGAGGCTCTGAATGGATGTATAGTTACTGCCGATCGCGGTTACGGGAAGCCCAATTTTATGGAGGTTCTTTCATCTTTCGGTGTTAGCTCTGTTTTTGTAATGCCAAATCATTTACTTCGAGTCCACCCATTTGTTGCTTCCTCCTATCTCGATCCAAGAAGAGGAGACTTAGAAGACACAGACGAATGTACTAATGCAAGGTCAGATGACCTGGGAAATGCTTCTGCTGGAAGCAATGCACCTACCGAACAAATGCCTCTGCCACCTTCGGAAAATGTGGGGAATATGGAAGTGTTGTGCGACAGAAGAAGGAAGTTCATTATTGATGACAACCCCGCGTTAGGACCTCATGCGTTCATTGCCACAAAAATGGCGGCTGCAGCGGGCTCTGGAAACCGAACGGGACAAAGAAAAATCACAGCAGTTGCTGTTCGGGAACACGGAACCGAAAAGTTCTGTAAAGTTCTTCGTTTCATGTACACGGTTCCTGAAGGGATTCAGGAAGCCCTTAAGCAATGGATTGCTGTGACTAAAAGTAATGAGCCATTACGACACACCCTTTTCTCAAAAAAAGTGAGAAGCCACCGGAAGTTCAAGTTTTAATGAGTGCAGTCGAACAAAAACTTCTTTCAGTATGTTCGGTTCTTACAATCGGACAAAGGTGTGCAGACTGGTTTATTTTGCGACGGTTTCGGATAACGGGAACTAATTCTGGTCTTGTAGCAATGAGCAGCTCAGCAGTGAGGTTGTCTTCGGGTTTAGAACCGGCTTCTGCCGACACGGAGAATTTGCCCGAACAGTGGCTAGAAAATTTTCAACGCAGCTGGTTTAATTCTAAGGTTTCGACAGAGCCTATGATGCGAGGCAGTGCAAATGAGAATACTGTACTAGCTGCTCTCAGATCAATGAGTTTTATCAGAGATGTTTTCGAGGTCGGCTTGCTATGCTTAAAAGATGTGCCTTTCCTAGCTTGCTCCCCAGATGGCGTCGCTATCCTGGATGAAGAAATTGTAGAAAGGCTAAACCCATTTAGCAGTATTGACAATCATAATGTTACTGGAAACATGGAAGTACTTGCATCTGTCGAAATCAAGACCAAGGTGACTGCACGAAGTTTAGCGAGCTCTATCTCTTTGTCATCTGGCGATCCTGTGCTTTGTACAGTTGGTGACGAGCTATTCAAAAAATATGTCGCGAAGGAGCACATGGCTCAAATGTTACAGCAAGTGATAATTCTAGGCCTGCAATACTCTGTCTACCTTGTTGCTTCCGAAACTGGCGTGTTGTATACAGTGCCTATCTACTGGTCTCCGGATATCATTGAAACATGTCTTGCCGTCTTAACGTTCACTTGTGGTCCAGTTGTGTCATGGGCATACGAGGAGGGGGCACCAATACCGCAGTTTGTAAGTAGTGAACAACGCC